GAGGGCTATCAAGAGATAGGCAATTACTTCAGCTTGGCCAGGACACAATGGGCAATAACCAGACAAGCTGAGACTGGACTCACCTGCTGTTGCCCTTGTAGACGCTGTTGTAACTGCAGTCGCAACTGATTTGGAGCTGTTGGAGGCCTACTGAGTGCCTGTCGCGGCTGCATCCCCACAGCAGGGAAAGCCCCACGAGGTGATGGGACCTGGACTGACATAGGTCCAAAGGATTGTTTCTGCCTCATGATGCCTGGGAAAGGCCCAGGAAGGTTGGCAGTGGGGGAAGCCGAGGGATAAGGGTGAGGGTACATGCCGGGTTTCTGATCCATCACAAGAGTTGGTGGTGGTATTACTTGCTGTGGCTGGAACCTCTCTGTCAGTGCTTCTAGGCCCCCTCCCTGTTTAAGAAATGAGGTGAAATTTCTGAGTTTCAGCAGAATTCCAAATGCATTTCTGGGACATTAGCTTTGTATTAAAAGCAAATTCAAGAATACAACAACATGGTAAGCTTTATATGTATGTTTGTAAGTATTTAAATTTAGAAGGCTGTCCAACTCCAAAATTACTCTGGGCAGCTTACATAGTTAAAAAGGGAAGAGAAAATAACCCCAAAAGAGAAAAACATAATGCATGGATTAAAAAAAAATCACCCTAATAATTAAACAATTAAATATTTTAGGTATGTGAAATAGTTTATAGCCCTTCTTCTCCGCCACAAACAAAACAGGGAAAGAAGACAAATCCCTTTAAGCAGAGCCAAAACACCCTACAGGTTGCTCCGTGTTTAGAGGACACTGATGTTTTTTAAAAAAAATGCAATTTCTTACATTTTATCCAGTGTAGAATTCATTGGAAAAGACCCCGATGTTGGAAAAGATTGAAGGCAAAAGGAGAAGGGGACAGCAGAGGATGATATGAACAGATAAGTGTCATCAACACAATGTACATGAACTTGGACAAACCACGGGAGACAATGAAGGACAAGTTCTATGGTCCATGGGGGTCACAAAGAGTTGGACATGACTTAGCGACTGAATACCAACAACAACAAAGCAGTAGAATAGCTAATAGGTGAATTAGGAAGCTGTGAGATTGGCTTTCCTATGTATTAATTTATTTTGTTGACTGTGAACTCGTCCTCCCCAGCACATGCATACCTATTCATAATCACTGCCAATTATACAGGGTTTGGGATCATGGCTGAGAGAGATTATAATTTCTATTGTAATAGATTTTTTTTT